AGTGAAAATTGTCCTCTCTGACATAAAAAGTGTGCTTTGGTTTAAAAAAGATAAAATATGCTAATTACATCTTTTATCATTTTTGCTTGCTTGTTGGAATCATTTCTGGCTTTCTCCAAGCAAAATTGTATTAAGTGTTTCTATTTTCTCCATAGTTTTTCTGGTTTCAGCCTTATATCGATATAATTATCACCGTCTGCATTTTTATAAACTTAATTTTAAAAGAGTCCTTGTAATATCTTAACTATGTAGAATACCACTGATTGAATATAACAATATTTGTACTTATGAACATTTTCTTAGAGATGATTTTGTTGAGAAGGATAAAACTGATTTAAAGCTTGCATTTAAAATGCCAAACATAGTATCTTGGAACCAGTTTTTTCTTGCTTGCGCTGAATAGAAATGTGAAATAGTTAACATGTTAGATGATTTGCTGATGATATAAACAAACAAAAAAATACCACTGCTGTCAAGTTGGATCTGACTCATAGCGACCCCTTCTTGGGTTTCCAAGGCAGTGTCACTATGGAAGTAGATTGCCCAACCTTCCTTCCGAGGAGTGGCTGGTGGGTTTGAACCCGTCGGCCTTCAGGTTAGCAGTCAGATGCCCTGGGCACTACCCCACCAGAGCTACCACTGATGATATATATACCACTCTTATTTTTTAGTCCATTCTTTGTTTTGACTCATGGTAATGTCATATACTTTTGATCAGTTTCAAGGTGAAAATTAAAATTTTAAGTTTTCTTTTAAGGAACTTTTATGAATAACAGTTAAGTATTAATTAATAAGTGGTAAAGAAAGCTGATATGGTAAAGAAGCTCTGGTGTTTCAGTGGTTAAGGCATTCCATTGCTGACCAGAAGGTCAGCATTTGAAGCCCCAGCCACTCTGCGGGAGGAAGATGAGGCAATATGCTTCCGTAAAGATAACAGCCTTGGAAACCCTATGGGGCAGTTCTGCTTTCTCCTATAGGGTTGCTATGAGTCAGAATAGATTCAATGACAGTGGGTTTTTTAAAGACAAGCTTACATTTTAGAAAAATTTTACTGGACATAATAGTCATTGAGGGAAAACAGATAAATTATATTAAAGTGAAAATGTATTATAATCAGAAAAGCTAACTTTAGTAAGTAGTGTAATTGGATTTTTTTTTTTTACTATTAAATCATGGCTTTTGTAAATGCAGAGTCCAGTAATCTTTTCACTCCTACTCTTCAGTGTCTTATTAATATTTTTTCCATCTCTGATACGGATTTTAATTTATAAAAAAATATTTCCAACAGCTCTAATTTAAAATGAAACTAGAGACAAATAAATTTGATACTTTTTTTTAAAAGAGGAAAAAAAAAAGACTAAGGAAGATATGAGGGGGATTTTATATCACATATGGAGAATTGCTAATGATGTGAATTGAAGGCTAAACACAAAAGCACATCTTTTTCAGTACATTGATGATAACTGCTAAGTCACAAAGTTTGTTCAGCATGCCTAAGGAAAGAGCAGAACCAGACTATGGTATCATGTTCACACTAAGTCCAGATCAAGTAATGTCTTTTCACAGAACATATAGACATTAAGCAATGTATGACTATAAATGAATGAGCATGGCTGTGTTCCAGTCAAACTTTATCATACTGAAGTTAAAATTTCATTTTATGTTTCATCCATTTAAATGCGTGTGAACTATTCTCAGCTCTTGAGCAGTACAAAACATGTGGTGGGCCAAATTTGACCAGTGGGCCATAGTTTGCTGATGCCTGCTTTCAACAGTTAATTTATTTTCAGAGCAATTAAAGGTAACAAAAATATGTCTTTTAAATTTAGCTTTATTTTTATTATTTCTAGAGCTCTGCATTTCATTTTACAGATCTAAATTTTTATCTAGCAGTATTTTCCTTTTCCCTAAAGAACTTTCTTCAACATTTTTTGTAGGTAATGAATTTCCTTAGCTTTTCTTTGTCTGGAAAAGTTTTTTATTTCACCTTCAGTGTTGAATATATTATGAGTATAGAATTCTGGCTGGACAATTTTGTAGTTTATCCAGCTTTTTCTCCTTGCGAGAGTGGGAGTGACATGCCCAGCATTCTGTAAGCAAAAATGGAATTTTTGGATTCTTTTTGAAAAATATTATATATAATTTCTTGTTTTCATTCTAAATTTTATTTATTTTGTTATATACACCAATTCCAACAGTTTCTACATGTATAATTTAGTGACACTGATTACATTCTTCAAGTTGTGTAACTATTTTCACACTCATTTTCTGAGTTATCCTTCCCTCATTAACGTAATATAATGCGGCCCCCAAAGAGTCCTGTCTAATCTTTCAAGTTGCTGTTGTCAGTTTCTCTCTTAAAAGAACATAATGTTCAAGGCAGACCATTTTACAGGTTAAGCTAAACTGTTTGATTTTAAGATGACTTCAAGGAATCTTATTACTTTAAAGTTTAAAGATTATCTTAGGGCAATGATTTCAGGGGTTCATCCATGATAATTTGAAATTCTGTTCTACGTTTTCCCCCATTGATCAAGATTCTTCTTTGGAATTTTGATGAAAATGTTCAGTAATCGTAGCCAGGCATGATCTAGTCCTTCTGGTCTCATGGCAAAGGGCTAAAGAGGCTTATTGTTCCCAAGTCCTTTAACTGTGTTTCTTATTTCTGTTATTGTCCATTTCAGTTGTATCATGTCTTTTGTTAGAGCCTCATTTTTTTTCTTGCATTGTTTTCCCTTTTCTTTTAGTTCTTTGTCAATGCTTTCCCTTATTTCGTCATCCCTAGATGTGCTTTCACTGTCTCTGTTATGGTCATTTGGATGAGCCATTGTTTCTCTGTACTTCGTGTGTCTTGTGGTTTTTTGTTGGGGCATTGGAATTTTCGATGGTGTTAACTTTCTCTGTTTTCCCTACTATTTGGTGTTTTGCCCGTACTACTTTCTACAAGAAACTCTTTGGTTTAACCTACATGGTTTAATTGGGATTTGAAAGTTCCATATCTCATGTTTCAATTTTCAGTCTCTCCCAAACGTACCAGGGAACACGCTGTGATCAGTCTGTCCACCAGTGGGCATTGCCACTCATGCTATATATAGTGTACTAACCAATCTGTCTGCTCAGGGGCACAATCCCCTCTCTCTGGTTATTACTCCCTTCCCTTCTCTGTTTCTCTAATCATGTTTTTATTGGAAAACCCACACTCAGTGGGCCCCCTTTGGGGCTGGTTTTTGTACTTGGTTTTGCCTAAGGTTTCCTTCCTTGCTCTGTGGTTTTTGCTTATACCTGAGCTGGTATTTAGAAGAAACAAAGGCAGACTTTCCTGTGTGTCAGGAGGAGACAGCCCTGGCACTCCTGATTAGGACCTCTAAGAGTTTGTTTTTGGTCTCAGAGCCCCAGTGGCTCTGTGGTGGTTGGGGGAGCAGTTTCCACTTAGGTCATCCACTTCCTTACTCCACTGAAGAAGTTAGTATCTGTCTAGCAGCCAGCAGTTACCAGTTGGGAGCAGTGTAGTCACACTCCAAATGGACCCCAGGGGGGTCTACTTTGTGTTAGCAGAGCCTATCCTGTAGTATGTTGGCTGTGGGTTTAACCTCCACTGAAGATGCCTTCTTCTAGCACACAACAGATTCAGTCAGTTGTCCTCAGTGCTGACTGTAAGGAGAGCAAATAGACCCAAGCTGATCCCTACAAAGGTCTTTCCTGTTGGTTTCTGGGCATGAGCTGTGGGGTACACAGGGAAGCAGGTGGAGAACTGACAGTGGGAGCAGACTACACAGCAAGGGCCTTGTGTAGCAGTCTGCCAGCCAACAATTACCGGGTGAGGAAGAGGGCATCATGCTCTGGTCAGATCCCCATGGAGGCCTGCCTTGTTGCTTTGAGTTCCCCTGGTGGATTGTTGACTGTGCATGCTGTCTCCATTCAAGACTTCTGCTTTCTTCTCAGTACCTGTTGGAAGCGGATTAACCCTAATTGACTCAGAGGGAGGCAGATGGAATGTTGACTGTGGCAGCAGAGCCATACTGTAGCAATTAACAGCAGGCTTGCAGATGGCAGTATCTGGTTGGGGGTAGAGCTGTCACATGCTTTGGAGGGAGGTCTGCCTTGTTACTACTCCCAGAATCCTCCCTGTAGTATGTTGGCTGTGGCTATAGTCTCTACTAAAGATGCCTGCTTCTTAGGACACAGCAACCTCAGTCAGTAGTCATTAGCACTGACTGAAAGGTGGAGAGCAGATAGATGAGAACTGACTCCCTGGGGGGTCTGTCCTGTTGGTTTCAGAGGCCTGAGCTATGAGATGTATAGGGAGGCACTTAGAATGTTGGCTATGAGAGCAGGTTTCACTGCATAGGCCTACTGTAGCAATTTGCAGTAGACTTGCAACTGACTGTCTGAGTTGGGGAAGTGCTGACACGCTCCAAATGGATCCCTGGAGGGTTCTGCCTTGTTGATTTTAGGACAGAAGCTTGGGGTCCTGTCTCTCTGTAGCGGCCGGGGCTGTCGTGGTTAGGGAAGCAGGCTCTTTTTCTGGGACCCCTATCCCAGTTTACAGCAACTGGCGGCTTACATGGTTGGGGGAAAGGCAGGGACAGTGGGAGAAGAGATTTTTCTGCTGTATGGGACTCTTTATTGATTTGTTGATTCTTGCTTGTCTGCAGTTCCCTAATGCTTTCCTCTGCTTCTTGATTCATTCAGAGTCCCTCAAAGGCAAGCACCATTTCCCTGTTGTCTTTCTTCTTGTATTTGTGGAGGAGTATTGGATGAGGGTTTGTTTATGCCACTATCTTCTTAGAATTCTCTATGTATAATTTCCTATTAGAGTCTATCCAGAGGAGTAACTGTGTAATATCTTATTGTTCGTTATTTCTCCAGTCATGTATCAATTTGCCTCTAAGTTTAGCCAGTAGAGCACTGTAATGAGAGTATTACAGATATTTTTGTTTTCATGAATTATTTTGTAGATGTAAAACAACTGTAGTCATTATATTTTCTCTTTAAAACAGGGTACTAGTTGCTTCCTGCGCTGGGTCAGAAACCTGGATGATGAACTACATGCTATTATAGCCGGTAAAGCATGATAAAATAAATGAATGATTGTTACTGTTTCAATAGGTAGTAGGAATGAATAGGCAATATACTCCAAATTCACCCAATATCTATGTAGCTTCCTTTCTCAGTAGTAAAATCCTTACTGGGGCAATAGTTCAAACATTTTATGTTTGCCAAGTTTAACATATCAAGGCAATCTTGCTATCTGGTGTTTTGACTTGGCAATACAATGAGTCAGCTGACCTGTTGCAGGCCAGAAATCTTAGGGACTGTGTCTCAAAAGAACATAAAGACTTAAATTGTTATATTAAAGATTAGTAGAAGTTCAATTAGATTGCTTTAAAAATTCTGTTTTTGCCACTGGCAACAGAGGCATATAATTTAATAATAATATATTTTTTCATCCTGTTAGTATTCCTGCCTCTACCTTTTTTGATTCTCCATTTACAGAATGAAGCTAGTGCTGTGGAGAGAGATGTGATGATAGCACTGAAAATAATTGGAGCTATTAGGAGAATAGATAAATAAATTGTATTTCCATTTCAAATCAGAAGATGATACCAATAGCATTTAAAAATTAATTTTAGAAGTCATTATATTTGATTAGGTCACTAAGGGTTTTTTTGGTTTAACTTAAAATATAAAGCTTCTTGTATATGAGAGATCTGGTGGTGTAGCACCTAAGGCATTTGACTGCTAACCAGAAGGCTGGTGGCTCAAACCCACCAGCCACTAGCTACTCCTTGGAAGGAAGATTAGGCAATCTACTTCTGTAGAGATACTGCCTTGGAAACCCAAGGAGGGGTTGCTTTGAGTCGGATCCGACTTGATGGCAGTGAGTTGGGTTTTTTTTGATATATGTATATCAGAAATGTTGGTTATTAACTCTGAAAGTCAATTTAAAATTTAATGTGATATGTGATAATGTGAACTCACCCATTTTAACATCATTAGGCTGGTAGCGTAGTGGCTAAGGCACTTGACTGCTAACCAGAAGGCCGGCGGTTCAAACCCACCAGCCACTCCCCGGAAGGAAGATGGGGCAATCTACTTCCGTAGTGATACTGCCCTGGAAACCCAAGGAGGGGTCGCTATGGGTCAGGTCTGACTCAACGGCACATAACAACAACAACAACAAGGTGTATTACTATGCTTAAATGTATTTTGACAAGAGACAGTGCTACAAATTGATTTAATAACAAAGAAATACTTGTAAATCTGATCATTTCCTGCTTTATTTGTTGTTTCAGGATTTTTGGCAGGTGTATCAATGATGTTTTATAAGAGCACAACAATTTCCATGTACTTAGCTTCTAAATTGGTGGAGGTAAGCAAAATTTTAAAGCATGCTATCATTCTGAAAATTACAGAGCTTTTTTAGCTACCATCTAACTGATTTAGCAGCAGATACATATCCTAATTACAGAAGCAAACTCTAATCCTATGAAAGTATTTTAAAAGTCAGGTCCTTGATTGATTGATTAACTGACAGGCAGGAGTCAGATCAAAATTTTAAAAGCTGAGAGTACGGAGTTTGATTTTGTTCTCAGAGCTATTGGAAGTCATGGGAGAGATTGAAGCATGGAAAAGAACTGTTTCAATTCACATTTTAAGGAGGGAATTCTGAATATTACGTGGAGAATGGATTAGGAGGCTGGGGACAGCAGTTAATCACAGGCATGAGATGGTGGCTTGGATCAGGATCCTTTTGTGGATTTAATGACTACTGTGGTGTAAGGAGCTCTGGTGGCATAGTGCCTAAGGCATTTGACTGCTAACCATAAGGCTGGCAGTTCAAACCCACCAGCCACTCCTTGGAAGGAAGATTGGGCAATCTACTTCCATAGTGATACTGCCTCGGAAGCCCAGGGAGGGGTCGCTATGAGTTGGATCCAACTTGATAGCAGTGAGTTTGGTTTTTGGTTTGGTGGTATAATAAGGAGCTCTGGTGGCATAATGCCTAAGGCATTTGACTGCTAACCAGGAGGTTGGCAGTTCAAACCCACCAGCCACTCCATGGAAGGAAGATTGAACAATCTACTTCTATAAAAGATTTACTGCCTCAGAAACGCAAAAGAGGTCGCTATGAGTTGGAATCGACTTGATGGCAGTGAGTTTGGTTTTTTGTTTTGTATAATATCTAAGGAGCCCTGGTGGCACTGTGGTTAATGCATTGGGACACTAACCAAAAGGTCTGTAGTTTGAACCCACCAGCCACTCTGGTGAAAGAATGATGAGGCAGTTTGCTTCTGTAAATATTTACAACCTTGGAAACCCTATGGGGCAGTTCTCCTCTGCCCTATGAGGTCACTATGAATTGGAATCAGTTCGATGGCAGTGGGTTTGGTATTTTGGTTTGGTGGTACAATAGACAGTCATTTTTCTCTGATTGAAGTTAATTTTATACTAAAATACTATATATATAAATTACTATATAATTAATATTATATAAAATCAGCTATATAGATCATTTTTTCCTGGGAACTTAGGAGTCAAATGCATCTATATTGAGTAACAATTATATTCCTGTTACTGTGCCAGGTTTAGGTAAATGTATAGAAGAAGTATAAGGTAGAATCCTTGCCCTTTATTAGCTTAGAATCTGCTTCAGTGGATAAACTGTATTATAAGAAGTAACAACTCACTGTCGTGGAGTTGATTCCAACTCATAGCAACTCTTTCTTGGGTTTCCGAGGCAGTATCTCTATGGAAGTAGATTGCCCAATCTTCCTTCTGAGGAGTGGCTGGTGGGTTTGAACCACCAGCCTTCTGATTAGCAGTCAGATACCTTAGGCACTGAGCCACCAGAGCTCCTAAGAAATAATAAGGAAGACAGTTAATCCATGTATCAGATGCTTGTTTCGCATAGCATTTCTGTGGTGCCATTCTGCCACATCTGAGTTACATTTTCTTTGACATGAATCTACTACAAAATGTCTGTATCTCATATTGTTATTTTATTTTTTAAAATAATATCTCATGTATGATTGTTTATCTTGTTTACTAAGTAATGATAGCTCTTTTAACATATCTTATAGTTCTTATGCATCCCAGTCCCTAGCACACTACTTTGCATAGATTTACTTCTCATTATATATATATTTCTTGATTGATTCATATGTAATACATTCTCTTCATCATTTCCTTTGTTGCTTTTCTCTTCGATTATGGTAGCTTATGTGGATCACTAAGGATTTTTTATGACACATCAGAAGGGATATTACTAATAAACATATTCATTCTGCCATTATTTTAGTATTCTGAACTGAGTAGATGTTAAAGACAATACAAAGATGAAGAAGAGAAGGTGTTGCCACCTGTCAATGAAATTTTTTTCAGTTCTCATCTCTTTTATGCTCTTTATTTCTTCTTGAACCTCCTTTCACCCTATTGTAACACCACTCTGTCTTAGTCCTCTGACTTTTCTAACGAGTCTGACTTTAGTTTTGCCAAGTTTTAGAAAACCCATTTCCATGAATTATCCCTTGTTATAGTCGTATGAAATTGTTGGCAGTTCCCTACACATACTGTGTTACTTTCATGCGTATTTGTTACTCCTGCTTCTCTTTTATCTAGTTGTTGATCCTATTCATCTTACAAGGCAACAGTATTAAAAATTGTGATCAGCAGGCCAGTGCTAGTCCATGAACTATTTGTTACCAGTCCACAACAAAATAAGTATAGAAATAAAGAATAAGCATTTGGAAACTTTTATAATTGGGCAGAATAATGTTTTGCCTTTTGAATATTAAAAATTTGGGCTTGGGTTTTGTAAATTTTTTTTTAGTAATTTATTTTTATATAAAAATATAAATCTATGACTTTATATAGACTGGGAGCTCTGGTGGTGTAGTGCCTAAGGCATTTGACTGCTAATCAGAAGACTGGCGATTCAAACCCACCAGCCACTCCTCAGAAGGAAGGTTGGGCAGTCTACTTCCACAGTAATACTGCCTTGGAAACCCAAGGAGGGGTCACTATGAGTTAAGTCCAACTTGACAGCAGTGAGTTTGTTTTTTTTGGTTTGTGATAGACTGGAAATTAAGAAAAAAAAAATTGTTCTTCACTAGAAATTATTTGACCAGTGCAAATAATAGTCTTTTCTGATTTTTGGCTCCCCAGAGCAAATATCTATAGATACACACACACACACAGACACACTCTTGTAGCCCTCATTAGAGTACATTGGTGATATCTGTTATGTATTAACTATGTTTTGTTCATTTTTTTAATCCCTAGCTCCAAGCACAGTGCCCAGCATATACTTGACATTATTAAATGTTTACTGAATGAATGAATAGACTTATTCAGGAAGACAGACCTTGGGCACTGTACAAAAAAGCATTGGAAAATAATTGCCATAAAAGAGGTAGAAATAAGGTGCTATTGAATTTCACAGAATAGTGTTATTGCTTTCAGCTGGAGTTAAGAGCAAGGGAACACAGGAGGGAGAAAGCTGACATTTAATGCTGTCATGGTAGATGTGACATATGATTTGAGCTCTGAAGGATTACTAGGATTTGGAAAGGTAGAAAAAATAGTTGTAGGTAGGGAACATAATGCTTAAGTGTATTGTTGATGCTACTTAAAGTTGTTTCCTTTATAAGGCTTACGTTGTACTTGTTTTGCAGACAATGTATTTCAAAGGCATCGAAGCAGGGAAGGTTCCCTATTTTCCCCATGCAGATACTATCATCTACTCCATCTCTACAGCAATTTGCTTCCAGGCAGTAAGTATAGCTTTTTGAAATGAGCTATAGAATTGTTTCTAATGTACATTAAATAGAAGAATAATAAAAGCCTGGAAATATTTCTATTATGTTGTATGCTATTTTTTTTTTAAGCAAGATAGCTTGTAAGTTTCAAATCATTGAATATGCTAACTTAATGAACCAGGTCCTGTTTTATGAGTACACCACTTTCTATGTTTAAATAGAGTGCAATTTATAAGTAAATTATTGCTCCAGTACCTGAAGTAGAATGCCTCAATTTAATTATCCTTCTTCCAGAAAAAAAGATACCATGGGCATAAATAGTAATAATTTCATTTCCTCAGTTTTGCTCACGGAATGGGGGAGAGAGGAGAATCTAGTTCAATAGAAGCATTGTCCATTTTCTTTAAATTCTGTAATCATCTTTCAATGATGTTAATGATTTTAGGGCTGTCGTAAAGTTGTTGAAACAACTTTTATTTGCTCTGTCTCACAATGATGCTGCCAGGTAGAAAACTAACTACAGCTAGTGAAGTGTCTTCTATTCCTTGGGTACTCAGTAAATGTATCCTGATAATAATGACTGTTAACTCAATTATTTTGTAAGTAGCATTTCTAATTTGAGGGCATACTTACAAATATTCTTGGTAGTTATTGACTTAAACATAAATATGTGCATTTCTTATTATTTTAATCACTGTCATTTTTAAAATACATTGAGCAATAAAAATAGAGATAGAACTATTCTGTTGCTTAAGACTGCTGATAATATTGTTATATACTAAAAGAAATCTCCAATTCATTATTCTAATCTTAGGCTGTCATGGAAGTTCAGACTTTGCGACCATCTTATTGGAAATTCCTTTTAAGGCTAACTAAGGGCAGGTAAGTGATTAAGATGTTTTTGTTTTGGGTTCTTTGATTTTCCTTATTTTAAAATCTTTAAAGATTTTAGAATAACTCAAGATACAGTGCACCAATGTGGGAGATCCTGGATAGAGTGGGAGAACAATGTAGAACAAAGCTCAAAATCATTAAAATAAAAAGGGGACCAGGTTTGCTGGTCTGATGGAGCCTGATGGAACCACTGAGACTATGGCCCCTAGCTGCCCTTCAGGTGTGGAATTGAACCCATACCTGTGGCTTCCAAACAAAACACAGGCATATGAGTTGAACATTTACCTGAGGTAGATACACTCCTTGGAGAGAACAATCAGGGGAGAATAGAAGGGCTGTGTATGCACAGAGACATAGCTCAGGGGGGCAGGAGTGCATGGAGGGAAGGACACAGGGAAGAAGTAACTATGGGGAGGAAGTGGGAGGGGAGCTGTTGCATTGTGGTAAATTGTAGTCAATGTCATGAGACAAAATATATGTGAACTGCTGTATGGAAAGTGAATTTGCTCTGTAAACTTTCACCCAAATCATCATCATCATCATCATCATCATCATCATCATCATCATACAGTGCTCCAATTTAAAGGTGACCTTAGGATTTTTCCTCCATTCCCACCTTCCCATACCCCCTAGTAACCACCAGTCTTTTTTTTTTTTTATTGTTTTGATGGATATGCCTATTCCAGATATTTCATAGAAGTAGAATCATAAAATATTTGTCCTTTAGTGTCTGGTTTATTTCACTCAGCATGATATTTTCAGAGTTCACCTATGTGTGGCATGCATTAGGACTTTCTTTCTCTTTATGGTAATCCCACTGTACCTATATATAGTCCACATTTTGTTTATTCATTAATCTGTTGATGGTTCTTGGGTTGTTTCCACCTTTTACCTGTTGTGAATAATGATGGAATAAACTTTGGTGTGTGCATGTGTCATTTTGAGTCACTACTTTCAATTAAGATGTTTTAAGTCATCATAGAAAAAGAAAGTTTACACAGAAAGATTATGAATCTTTTTGTCTTATTGAGGGAATATACATTCAGTAATAAAGTGGATATTGGGATATAAATCAAATATGACCAATTTAATAAAAATAAAATAGAGTGTTATTTTAGTGGGCATTATTTTGACTATTCTGTTCACTGTAATATTTTAGATATTTGAAGTATTCTAGATTAATAGCATATTGTTTTATTAATTGCTAATTAGTTGCTACATAACATTTTAGTCTAACTAATTTAGACTTAATTTGACTCTGTTGTATCTCAGAAATTTGAAAACCTGTTTGTTTGCCTTTTAATCATTAACTGTTTACACTTTGGATGTGTACTTGTGAGATATGATGTCAACTATGAGAGGCATTATATTTAATATTTTATTTAACTTACAACATTTTTCAATAATCTTAGAATTAAAATATGCCATCTTTGTCAACTCATTGGAATGCCATTCTCTCAGAGTTTTGCCCTGTTAGGAAATGTTAGGTCATTCATTTATTTCTCAAGCTCAATCAAGCTCACTGCCGTCAAGTCGGATCCGACTCATAGTGACCCCTCCTTGGGTTTCCGAGGCGGTATCACTACAGAAGTAGATTGCCCAGCCTTCCTTCCGAGGAGTGGCTGTGGTTTTGAACCACCAGCCTTCTGGTTAGCAGTCAAATGCCTCAGGCACTACACCACCAGAGCTCCCTTCATTTATTTAGCTTCCTGCAATTTCATTCATCATAAAAATTGTAACAAATTTAATATTCTATTTGATATAATCTAGTGGAAATAACTTGAAGTGTTTGAAATAATGATGGTAATCTGTGGGATTTCAGGCTGGGGATTATATCATTAAATAAAATATGGAACAGTGAATCTTGAGGAAGAGTGTGTGACTTTTGAATCAGTAATTGACTTTAGATCCTTTACCATGTCAGCCTTTTTCCCCCAATTACATGAAACATAAGTCAGTTAATGTGAATTATTTTATTTTTTAAATTTCACTAAGTACTTGATCAGTGTGACTTCTGTTTTACAGGTTTGCCGTTATGAACAGAAAAGTTCTTGATGTTTTTGGTACTGGTGCTTCTAAACACTTTCCGGATTTCATCCCCAGGCTGGATCCAAGATATACGACTGTAACACCAGAGTTACCCACAGAATTTTCTTGAAGATAACTATGATTTATTAATGTGACTAAATGTTTCATCATTCTATCCTGAAGATTTAATTATGTTGAACACAAAGAAGGGAGCCTGGGCTTGAACTTCAGTGTTATTTCAATGGGAAATGCTTTTTTTTTTTTTCTTACCAATCAGAAATACTGAAGCTTTTTAGGAAGGTCTTGCTTAATAATTAAGCTCCCTCTGTAGCCAGAATCTGATCTGGATCACCGCAGTGGTTGACATTATGATATATTATCGACTAAATTATGCCCACAAGCAATTTAAAATAATCTATGTAGAATTGCAATAACAAATAAGAGTATACTTAAAATTATTTTAAAAGCTGTCTTTAGTTCATTCCAATATAATTCTTGGTTAAAACTAAGAATGTTTCTACATTTTAGAATTTTTAAGAATCACGGGTACATGGATTTGGTCTGTTTTTTTTATTTTTTTATTTTTTACTTTTTAATTGGTAACTCTAGTGCTGAAATATTATGGATTTGAAATAACTCTTCACAACCAGTGCTGCTTTAGTATAGAGCAATTTAATTGGAGAAAGTGGCCATTCTTATTTCAGGAATGCAAAAGTGAGTCTCATAACATTTGGTGGTATCTATGTACTTTTTTCCTACTGATACGTCATCTCTGACTCCATGACCAGTTGGGCTGTTTGCCAGTTCAGTGAACCTATGTGCTAGTGGCGTGTTAGGAACAAATGAAAATTGGAACATCTGCTAAAGTTAGAATGTCCTGTTATAATCTTTTATAGAAGCATTACACTTGAATGTTTAGAACAAATGAAGTTACTTCTGAGTCTCCTGTATATTTATTATGGGTTTTTGTTTTGTTTTGTTTTTTCATGTATAAGGACTGAATTCTTTAGAAGGGATCAAAACCCTATACAAGTAAAGTAGTTTTGTCAAGTTTGGCAGTTTGTTCCCTCTCAACTGTTTCATCAATATAATGGATGCTTTACAACTGAAAACAATATAAAAATCCACAGGTTGTTGAAAAATCTGTTTCATTACTAATTGGTTCAGGTCCTCCAGCCTTTTTTTTTTTTTTTTTTAAATATATATAGACACTGTATTTACTATATTAGAATAAAGAAGTGACAAAATATAGTCGCTGCTGATTATCAAATTTAGTTCAGGACAGCTGTGACTGAAATATGATTACTCTTTAGAGTTTTTCAGGGAAAATTACTTTTCTAAGCTAATGAAAGATAGTGATGTCTACAGTTATGTAATATAGGGATGATGGTATATTTTTTTAATATAATTTTGTTGCTGAAAAGTTTTTAGGCCATCATGAATTATGCAGCAGAACTTACATTGCAACAGGAATGCAGACTTTAAAAATGCTTGATTCCCCACACTCAATTTCATCAAGTCCTTTACTGTTTATATGTAATCTTATCCTTGGTTGTTTTGACAAATTGAAACCCAACAAAAAGACAAACTCTGGAACCAGGGTAACAGAGAAAGCCACTCTAATTTGGCCAAACTTTGCATTGTGATTAATGTATTAGACTTGACCTGTATCATCAGGCAATACTGTTAATGGGTTGTTTTGATTTCAGACTTCAAAAGTGATTAATAACTTTATTGTAAATTTATTTTATTCACTGGAATCAAAATGATGATTGGTACTGTATTTAATTTTAAAAATGATGTACAGTATTATCACAGTGAGCAAGCTTTGCTACCTGTACCTTATTTTCTGTGCTCAGCAATTACGTTTATAATATTTTTCCTGTCAGGTTAAAAGAAAACCATTTTGATCCATAAGTTATTGTGTTTATTGAAATTAAAAGGCTATGAGATTGAAAAACAAATTCTGCTGAAATTGTTTAGTAGAATTTTGCTGGCCAAAATGGTGCATTTCTATGATTTACAGTTTTTTTTTTTTAATAAGTTATGATAATCTTTTATTTTCTATAAAATGTGAAATGAAAGCCATCATAAAGCAGATTAAATAATGAATGTATACCTTCATTGAATAGTTCTGAATAATTAACTAATTTGCAGTGGTGAATAGAGAAATCCAGTTTGATTTCATTGGCACAGACTGTGAAATATGGTTCTTTAAACAAACAAAAAGAGACTGTTTCTGTTCTTAAAGACAATCAAAATAACTGTCTTCCTACCTCTAACTAATCAGATACTGACTGATAACTTATTGGCATCATAAATAAAGTCAAATAGACCTGTCCATGCCAAAACATGTTTTTTAGTCCATTTATACTCTTAAAAAATCTTGCTCATGGTAAGTTTCTACCAGAACTGATCACATTAAATATTAACATGCCCCCCTTGAGTCTTTTCTACATCTTTAGGTAGTCTGCAAAACAGTGTATTTGGGGGCAGTGGTATTATTTTTGTTTTATTTATTTTTCCTGTATCATTAAAACCCTAGAGCTAATTCTAACCAAGTAAAGGCCAGGGTTGCAAGGTAACAAAGTATTTCAAATCTATTCATATGCTTCTTAGCTTTTCAGCCAGTTTCAGTGTCCACTATATTATTAAATATTGAAATAACACATTTGGGTCAGTTATCTTTTTTGATAAATTCTGTGGTTGCTTCTATAATTTTTTTTTTCCTTGATGTATAAGCATAATTGTTTTAATTTAGAATAATTTTTTTAAATTTAGAATTTTATCTTATTAGACTTTGCTCTTCGATGTTATAATTCACTTTCATCTAGAAAGAACATGTCTTTTTTTATAGATTTACCAAGGTATTTTCCAGATTTTTTTGCACCTCATGACTTCTTCCTTCTAGGGTCACTTTTCTTCTTACTGAGGTTTTTCTTTCAATAGTCCTTTCAATAAGAATCTATAGATAGTAAGAAAGAAAATGTGCTTTCTTTTCTTTTTTTTAAAATTTTTATTGTGATTTGGGTAAACGTTTACAGAGCAAATTCACTTTCCATACAGCAGCTAACATACGCTTTGTCTTATGACATTGACTGCAATTTCCCGTAATGCAACAGCTCCCCTCCAACTTCCTCCCCGTAGTTACCTCTTCCCTGTGTCCTTCCCTCCCATGCACTCCTGCCCCCTGAGCTATATCCATGTGCATGCACAGCCCTTCTATTTTCCCACGATGGATCTCTTCAAAGAGTGTTGGTACCTAATATAAATGTTCAGCTTATATACCTGTCTTTTGCTTGGCTGGAAGCCACGGGAGTGAGTGCAATTTCAGACCTGAAGGGCAATGGTTCCATCAGGCTCTATCAGACCAGCAAACCTGTCCCTTTTTTTTTTTTTTTTTTTTAATTAAATGATTTTGAGTTTTGTTCCACATTGTTCTCCCACTCTATGCAGGACCTCCTACATAGATCCCCCTCCAAGTGGTTGACAGTGGTAGCCAGGCATTATCTAGTTCTTCTGGTCTCATAGTTTTATAGGCTGAGGACTGCATAGTGTACTAGTTGCTTCAACTAATTGTTTCCATGCGTCTTGGGTTTTCTTCATTCTTCTTTGCTCTGGACAAGGAGAGACCCATCGTTGCATCTAGATGGCCGCTTGTAAGCTTTGAAGATCCCAGTTGCTGCTTGCCAAAGTAGGATGTGGAACAATGTTTTGTGTAGTATGTTATGCCAATTGAGCTTGATGTCTGCTGCCATTATGGCCCCGAGCCCACAGGTCTAGCTATGGCCAAGAAGTGACTACAACCTTGTCCCTTGTCTGCTCTACTGTATACCTGAGGATTCTCACAGAACATACAAATACATTTGTAGAAACATTGTCTGCCAACCCTATACATAATCATGGGCACACTTCCCCCTGGACAGACATACCTAATAGTTCAGCCTGTCCACTTATCTATCTACCAGTATATCATTGTTTGCTTTCACTGACAATACAGTACTTACTGTATGTGCAGTTAATATTTGCTGTCTGTACTTCCCATGCACCTCTCTCTGTCTTCTTCTTCCTCAGTCCCACCATGTTGATCACTCACATTTGGTACATTGCCCTTCTCTTCACCCAAATCAGTAATTGTCTCTATCTATCTATTAGTGTTCCCTCCCCTCCCCTGCTACCCCTGGTAACCAAGAAAGAAAATTTCCTTCCATATATAAACCTTTCCATGACTTTTTACAATAATGGACTAATACAATATTTATCCTTCTGTGATTGACTTATCTCACTTAGCATAATGTCCTCCAAGTTTTAGTATGAACATGTCTTTTGTGATAGACCCAAAGTGGCAATTATCCCCTAGTGTTTTCTTTACTCAATCTGAGTGTTTATGTCCTTGTGGAGTGTGTCTAGGTATTTGATTGAGCTATTAATGTTGACAAAATTGTTTCTGCTTGTATTTCTAAATCCTCTGCTAATGCATAGGTAATGAAATGCAATTTTGTTTACTCGAAGGGAGCTTTGCACACTTGCCTATGTCACGTCCTTTCCAGTGGTGCTGGCCAAGACCTCTTGGTATGGCCAGACAGGAAGTGCCCACTCGAAGTGATCTGAGTGTTCTTGCTGCCTTTCAAGCAGAGAAGTCACTAAGCCCAGAGATTCCTGGAGTTCTTCCTGTGATTTACTTTTATTTGCTTAAGTAGACAATAGTTGGACACAGCAACAAAGCCATTCTTATATGAATAGGTTTTGCTGCACAACAGCAAAAGCATTCATTTCTGACTTGTGACCTTACTAAGATATCAACAAAATTTACTATTGATCTGTTGCTGTTTATCTCCCCAGTGTTCATTTTCAGATAGAGAATTTAGGTAACTGAAAATGAGTGACTGAGAAAAAAATCATTTGCAAAAAGAAAAATAAATAAATGAAAGTTTTCTGTAGGACTGAGCTGAGAATGTGGTGAGTAGTGTTGAGATTACCCTGATAGTGTAGCTGCTGGAAGCTGTTCTTAGCATTGACTCTACCCTGTGCCTTTCTTTTTATAGTCTGTTACTACTGTTGCTTTATCTAACCCTGCAATTCCTTCTTTTAGAAGTAGCAAGGAAGGGAGTAGCAGGGACTGAGGTGACCCTGAGATCATGATATTGACTAGGACTCTTGGGCTGTGTGGTATTTCACTCAAGGTAGAATATGAGAAGTTGTGTTTGTTTGAGGCTGTAGCCTTGGGTGGCTGTCGAATAGCACCGCAGTTGCGAAAAGAGTTACTCCAAAGACAAGATAAAAGATCTGAACAGAAGATTTAAAAGAGCAGCTGGAGGAGACAAAGCCAATTATTCACAATGAAATGTGCAAAGACCTGGAGTTAGAAAACCAAAAGGCAAGAATATGCTTGGCAATTCTCAAGCTGAAAGAGAAAAAAATTTAAGCCTTAAGTTGCTATATTAAAAGATTCTATGGGCAAAATATTGAATGATGGATGAAACGTCAAAAGATGGAAGGGCGTCTTCCGTCTCTGCGTATGCCTAGCTTCTGTTGTTGTTGTTGTTGTTATGTGCCGTGGAGTCAGACCTGACTCATAGCGACCCCTCCTTGGGTTTCCGAGGCAGTATCACTACGGAAGTAGGATTGCCCAACCTTCCTTCCGAGGAGTGGCTAGTGGGTTTGAACCGCCGCAAAAGGCCCAGCGGCCCTGCTTCCCCGGCAGTGTGTTCTGGGCTCCGCCCCTCCTGGCGGCTGTGGTGACGGAGGCAGCAGTTGTGTTGTTGTTGTAGTAGTTGTGTTGTCACCGGCTGGCGGCCGGTGACGCGGAGTCTGCGGAGCCCTAGCGCCTGGACCTGCTCGCCTCTGCGGCTTGCCTGACCGACCGCCGTGCTGAAGGTCCTTTTGAAATAAATCATGGGATTGAGCTTCATTCAGATGTGGTGGAATATGCCAAGGAAAAGCTGGAGCGCTTCATCAAAAGTAGTGATAGCTTTGATAATCAGCTCCTAGTACCTAGACTATCCGT